TAATTGAATATTTTCTTCTATACTTTTTAGCACGTAGCTATTTATTATTAGCAATGTTCTTCCGACGTCTGATTTCTTTTTAATTATAGCAAATGCGTGTTTCTAACGTACATAAACTTTTGAGATTGACTGTATAGCCAATACATCCTTAACGAGTGAAGAGATGATGGGTCTGGAAGTCCGGAGAATGCTGATGATTTCCGTCTCCCGGGAAGCGCCACGAGGGATGAACGGTAAACCGTTAACGCCACACCGGGTACCGTTCGATGATTGTTAGGGCGAAGTGTCTGCTTTCCGATGGATACATCTCGTCTTGCAATAGAGGTGGTTCCTTGGACCACGTGCCACCCCGATCCTCCCTGATCGATCCTCTTTCTACTATTACCACCGTCCAGACGGCCTCGAGGAAGAGATGAAAAAAATGAAGGGGACGAAGAGGAAGTGGACTAGACGATGAGGGAGTCTCAGGTCGTGAACTGTTCCTGATGGATTCATGGAACTCTTCTCGTTTAGAAAAAAAAATCTCAACACGAAATTATTTAACTACGCTCCTCAGAAGAAACGAATGTATTTTATAGAAACATTTTCATAAGTTTTTAAGGACTTGAAAAATCTGCCTCAGTAGTCCGTCAAATCCATTTGCATAAAATTCATTCTAATTGTTGAAACGTTGTTCATCGTTTTAAATGGTTAGGTGCTCCCACTCAGACATGGAAAAGCTGTGGGAGGGTTAAAGGACAGGAGGGTCACAGGGACCGAGTCACCAGCGGCAACGGCACGCGACCGACACGCGCTCTCCTCCCTTCTCGTCCCCTCCTATCTTTCTCTCTTCTCCTGCGCTTCTTTTTCCACCGTAGCTTCCCTCTGCACCCGCGCACATGCATTCATCTGTTACACGTGGTCATCCAGAGTTTACGCATGTGGGGAGCCTGGTGGTCTACCACATGATTTAAGATTCATTTCGAAATTAGTCACCGAACGTTTCTATTAATCACGTGAAATACATTCTCGAGTATCCCTCCTGTATTGAGTATTACATATGTATAATAGGAATCAGTCAGCTTGATTTTGTTAAAAATTAACGCTTTACTGAATTTGATGTGTATATATTATGGTTCGTATTTTAATTCAAGTATCGGAATAGGAATAATATTAAAGTGGCATTAGAATTAACGAGACGTCGTTACAGGTTTCGCGGCAGTTATTTCGAACAGGTTGCGCCTCGGATCTATTTTTCGATCATTGGCATCGGGCTGATCCACCACGGATCCACGCTTCTGATGACAGGTAGCCAGAAAAATAATTGAAACGACGACGATTAAATCGAGGCGCGATCTATAAATGCTGGCTCGCATGCCAACTCTCGGTATCCTCGCAATTATAAATGGTTAATCGCTGGTGGTCGGCCAACCAGCTAAAACGGCCAAACTTTTCAATTCAACCTGATCCCATGCTAATCCATCTTCAACAATTGCTTTGGTTTCAAGCACTTCATTTGGGAAATCTATATCGAATCTTAATAGTATCGAAATTATATACACGTGACAATTGTGAAAGTTAATGCTAAATACTTTGATCACGTATCATATTTTAACTGATATATGAGAAGGATTTTCTAAAATGTAATGTGTCTGAATTCTATTTATTGCAACGTGTATATTTACAAACATAACAAAAGCCTTCTTTACTAAAGTCAAGCGTCTTATGAAAAGGTGTCATTAAACGCTTTTGGCACTAGTGACTAATTTTCCTCGTTGGCAAATCCTACTTGGTCCTTTTAGATCATTCATCAAACAATAGACCCTACAGATCAGCTTGCCACATTTTTGAATATTATATAAAATAACTTTTGGAGAAAGTTATTAATCAGACAATCAGATCGTGAATTTTTTAGAACAAAGTGATTGCTATAAATGATTGTTTAAATTCCATTAATGAAATTTTTCTATCGAAATGATAAATCAAATCCTGTAAGCCAGTGTAAGCATTCATAGTTCTGTGGTAGGGGTTTGAATTAATCGAGTACGAGACGTCTTAGAGATGTTGAAAGATGAATAATGGTAAAGTAAGAAATATGGATTAAAAATCGTGTAGTACAAGCCTCTCGCTTCGCATCTTGGCAACCCGGTACGATCCGTCCCTGATCTGCATGCAAATACGAGCTATACTTAGAGATGTCCGATTTCCCTCGTTACGACAACAGATCGCATTTTTGTCTTCATCGACCTTAATGATTCTTCGTGGAATCCTCGGAGCATAACATTTTTCGAGATTATTTTGCATTTACGCATTCCCACGGTTATCAAAGCTGTCTGAAGATAAGGTGGTTGCCTGGATTCTTCAATGGGCCACTAGAAGGAGGAGATCTGAATGAGCATCCGCGTGTACGCCAGATCACTCGAGACGCGACCACGAGAGAAGTAATAATCTGTTCATCTTTTCTTTTTTTTTTTTAAATGAATGAACTTATCTACCCTTCGGAGTTTAGACTCGTGACCAGGTGGTGGGATTCGCGGAGATCATGCACGAAGGTGTCTAAGCCAAAGGGAAGGAAATCTAATTATAGAAGTCGTTGTACCGCGTGCTGAAAGTGGCGGAGGGTGTGAGTGGACGGGTGCACGAATGAGAATCGGTTGCATTGGGCGGTCATAAAATGCAGGCTGCATCCGCTTGGCGCAGATGTACTTGGAACGGAGCTCCAGCATCGCGATGCGACGAGACCAAAAGGATCTCTCGTTTCGGGGTTCTTAGCCCTGCCAGATATATCGGGGACAATGAACTTGAACCGTGGATTCCACGGATTCTCGTTTGACGGAAAATCGATCGCGCCGGGTCAGTCGCTTTAAACTAGACTATCTCCAGACACCGCGTCAAAATAGAGTTCGCCGAGGATCAAACGAGATACCACTAAACATCCTCGAATACCTGTAACAAGCCTGTCGACTTGGGTGGTTGTTTTATCAGAAGAAGTACAAGTTCGTTGCACCCTTCATTCATGCAGCAGCCATCTGGTTTAACCCTGCGCCGCTTCCTGTTTCAATCATGCAGGAATTGAACATTACACGTGATCTTAATAAGAAAAGATCTAGCGTCGCCACGTGACTTTTATGAATAGCAAAGACGTTTAAAGCTAGTGGCTGAGTGCCAATTAGGGGTAGGAAGCAATTAATCTGTCGTTATTGACTGAGGATTTTTATGCGAAATTTAAGATTTATAGTATCCATATAAGAACTGCTGGTCAATGGGATATTCAATTTTTTTCTAAATGCATAAAACGAGGTAATACATATGCAACTGGCTCGAGGTGTACGGGTCGGTACCAGCTGCGACATTTCGCGATCGAGGCGTGCCGCGATTATTATTGTTTCCTCTGGGATTCTTTTTTCTTCTGTAAGTAGCCGCGCGTGTGCCGGCGTAACGTGGCCATGTAAGGGCTAGGCGGGGGTGGCCGTGTCGGGCTCGCTAATTTTAGTAAGTCTCCAGGGTTTCTGGAGTCGTCGGCGAATCGGCAGCTGGTGATTCAAGACTGAGCCGCGTAGCTACGTGTTTCACCGTTCACGCGCGACGGACATCCCCCTTCGTTTTCTTGTTTCTCGTCTCGGCGAAGGAGGTCGATCCGTGTCCACTCGGTTCGCTCCAGATGTCTGTCATCCGATATATCTACGTTTCTAACGTTAAGAAATATAGTTTCACGGTTTCAATGTCTTCTACCTTTGGGGCTCGAGCCTCAATGCAAAGTTTTCATCAGTTTGAAAAATTATACATATACTGAAGCGTTCAGCTTTTGGTATTCTATATTCAATCTTTGCATTTTGTGCATAGTCCAGTCTATCGATAATTGATTTTTCAATTGAAATTGTATCTTTCGATTCTACTTTGATAACAATTAAATTTCTTCAAAACTCTTGGCTCGCAACGGCACGTAATAGCAGGATGTCAAATGCCATCAAGTGTAAGGGCATGCGAATTCGCATGATACTCTTTTCCTGCCTTCGATTTCGTTCATTCAAGTTGAACGTTAGAACGAAGAGTTTCTCGATATTCTTTAATCTGGATAACCAAAGGCTAGGTAAAACGGGAGGGCGCGTGTGTCTCTTTTGAAAAGAATGGAGCTAAAGGGGAAACGAACGAGATCTGGCGGCGGCTGGTGCAGCGGATGTTTGAAGCTGCTGAAAGTGAGGCGGTGGTTCCCTTTCGCGTTCCCTCTCCGTCTTTCCTGCTACGTTTCCTTCATCAGTTAGCCACGATCGCGGTAAAATCCGGAGGAAGCACCTCGGCGGATGTGATGTTTAGGACACGCGGCTCAGGCAAAAAAAGCCTACTCTGTATGAATAGGCAACAGTGGTTGGACCTTTCGCTTTTTGACCCATTTTCATTCATCACCAAAGAACGAAATATTTACGGTATCAATTGAAAGAATACAAGTTAGATGGATATTTCTTTTATTTCGGCATTGCGATACATTATAATTATTATTTAACCGTGGACAGTGGTTTTAACGAATTTGTAAATGCGAAGATAAACGAACTGTAAAAAGCCTGCACTTGATGCGGCGATTTCTACTTGCGTCTGGCGAGCCAAAAAATCTGTAACAGGTCAAAGAAACTAGAACCCTCACAACGGGAATAATCCGCATTCCATTAGAAAAAGACTACTCGTACAAACCTCGTTCATAATGAATACATCATTGAAAATTAATGAACCGTAGTTTTTATAATAGAAACATGTGTAAAAATATTGTTGGCAAATTTTGAAAAAAAGGCGTACGCGAGTAAAAGTAGATATGCTCGACACGTGGTTGTCGATACTCGAAGGCTCCTGCCGAGAAGACCTCCCGGTGTCACCCGACCACCATGTGCACCAGAATGAGATGAAATCCCACTCAGGTTTTCAGATTGTCTTCATCGCGGTGTATCGCCGAAACCGAACAGGGAAAAAAACCGTTTGAAAGACCAACGCACGGTTTACACCTCCTCGGTGCGGTCGGTGGTACATTTAAATAGATTTCGAACAAGTGCACCACGCGGGAGGCTCTGGCCTCATTTTTTAAATGTAATGCGTGAAACTATTCAGAATATTGAAAATATACTAGCTAAGGGATTTGTATTATAATTTATTTATGGGATTTAGAAACATTTAAATGGGACCGAGTTAATGATTACGAGCGAAAGTGAAACTAGCAGCCGTTTCTTTGCAGTTGTCACCTGCTGCTTGACCAATTGAAGTAAATACACGTCTGGCAGTGAACCAGCGCGCAGCAGGCGCGAACACGACACCCTTTACGACACTTTGCATATGCCTCGTTACTGTTTACTTTTACCGAAACGCTTTGTGTAATCGGAACGACGCGTGCTAGCTTTCTTTATTAAATAGCTATGGTAAAGGACTTATTAAAAATCAAAAGTCTTGCACATCATCGTCTTCATATCGAAGATATCGTAAAGCCATTTGGGTCTGAATATCATGTTCAACGTGTGGGCAAGTTGATGCCCTTCGAAGATGTACGTGACCTAAAGAAAAATACGATGCACTTGGAAAAAATTTGTTATTAGGTAAATCTTATGCATGTAGAAAAAGATTATGCTTCTAAAAAATATAATATTCAAAAACATGCGGAATATAAAGAATGAAATGCATATTATCATTTTTCAAATAAATTCCTACGTTGAATTATGCATAATTAAAATTGATATGAATTATTAATCGACTGGATCTCACATCAACGGGATAGAGCGGTGGATAAACGCGGCTCGCTACAACGTAAAAATATACGTTGGCCGTAACTTGGGGTTCTGGGTAGGCCGGAGTGGGTACACTCCAAATTACTTGATACGTATAAATCTCGACATTGCTTTTATATTGAAGGCCAATGAAGTTTACATGGAACATCCAGTCCTTCAAAGCCTGTAGGAAAGCTGTGTAAAAATATTCCCAAGATGCCGACGTGTAATCGTTCAAGAGAATATGAAGTATTACTGGTATCGCGTTCCATGATTGCATTTCTCTGACCACACTTTTCAAGCCGTTGCGTGCGTTAAAAGAGTCACACGTCGCCCACCAATTACCATACACGCCTAATTTTCGTTTACTAATGCCCGTTTCCTCGTCCGAGACAAGCTCACCCTGTTAAGTTCATCAATTTTTACATCGAATATTTGATTAATGATCAGTTTTGTAACGAACCAGATTATCGATTATCTTAAGTGCGTTTATAATTGCCAGTTCAATGAATTTTCTGATAAAATCCGATGAGCTGCGATAAGATCGGTACTCGTGTTCCTCGACTTCCGGTCGGATATTGTATATCGAACGTTGCTTTCCCAAGATCATGTTTGCGGGAAGTGGAAATTGTGGGAAATGATGTGTATTTTTAGCTTTTATGAATTTATTTCATCAAATTCGTATACGTCATTGCGCTCGTGTTAAAAAAAGAAACGACAAAACCGCCGGCTTCGTGCTTCCGCTCGTGCGTGTTTCTCCTACTGTTTACGACGATTACTTCGCGACGTTACATACATACATACATACACCTACAAGGTACACGATAATAAAACGCACGGTACAATTATATTAAATTGTACGAAGACTTGAATTTCGACAGACAGTTCTCTACACGATCAAGTATTAAAATTAACAATCGGTTTTCGCGTTGGCTGGATGATCCTGCTGAGCGCGGGCCGCCTTGGCCGACGCCTCTAAACCCGTGACAGCCGCTAGGACTTGGAACAAGCTTTCCATCAGTCTACTGAATATCTCCGACATTTCGTCATCCTTCCGTGTAACCACAAAAATATCTGCAAACGCAAACGTTAATTTCCATGATCCTCTCTCTTTCACTCACCTTAAAATACATTACCAGATCTGTCTTGCCCCAAGTGCTTGCAATACATATTCACAGCGGTGGTCACGTCGTCGTCATCGTGAAACGGATCTCCTGGCCATTGAGCCCTGTGCAGCCTCACGGCCTCGAGAGCGGGACACCACCTCATGTTCCTAAGCAACTCGGCAACCCGAGATACTTCCTCCATAGCCCCGGTTCCGGGCAAAGGGCTCGGACTCGGCGTCGGGGTTGGTGTCCCTCTCTCACTCTCTGTACTTTCTTCGAGAGCTCTGCTCAGAGCAATCTTCATTCTCGCGATTTCCGCTGACATATCTAGAACCGGGATTTGCGAGTTCCTCACAGTAGTCGTAAGAGTGCCTAGCATCTTATTTGACGCTTCGATCAATAGTAACAATTGAAGGTGGAGCTTGTAAAGTGCCCTGCCCAGGTCTAAAAGCATCTCTTCGAGACCAGTCTCCGTGGCGTGACTACCACCCAACGATTGCAGTTTCGCCGCTGCTTTAGCGGCCTCCAAACACTATACAAAATTAATGAGTAAGTTTTGTGTACAGAGAGTTACAGGTAAATGACTTACTTCTGTGGCATGGTCTTTCTTGTCTAAGAAAGTCTCGAGATGCTCTTGAATCTCCAACATTCCGAATCGCAATGATTCGTTTAATCGTTGATTCGCAAAAATAGCGATCGAGAACCAAATCAAAGGTGGCTCGGCTTTCGAACTGAGCAACTCGGCATGACTAGATAAGTGATAGCCCAATTGAGTGGAAGCGGGACTGGCGTTGCACAGTAAGGCACTAGCTTCGCGCGTAAGAGTAACGGATTTACCGATTACATCCTAATAACAATAACAGAATTGATCATTGAATTCATCAAGACTCGGATGTAAATCAAACGATCGACGTTATAGTTACCCTTAGGATTCTGCTCAGTAGCTGAAAAAAATCTAAAGTATTGTATACGGATTGCGTGATCAGATTTTGAATTTGTTGTCGCCAGATCTCTTCCGCATCGTCCCTCACGACTTGCCTGAACGGCATCAACGCTGACAGGTTCGGCGACGCATTGCAAGGCGTCACGTCCCCTAAATCTCCCGCGCTAGAACCACTACACGCGAAAGATGAACGAGAATCAATTAAACACGTTTAGTTATTCACTTCGAGAAGAAACTTACGATGTGTCAGACCTTGTTGAGGAATCGTGACGCGTGCGGCTGGGTATCAAAGAGAGGGAGGACGGTGGGAACATTCCAGGAATGTTGTTCGCTTCCTGTCCCGTTCCCGATCCACCCGGTACTTCGTCCAATGGTGATTCCGAACCAGCTTCATCATCCGACGACTCCTCCGCAACTCCGCGCTATTTAATACGGAGCATTTAATTATCGCTTCTATTCTATTTCAATTATCAAAAGTAAAGAAGAACGCTTACTCGGCTTGTGTGTTTGCTAGACGATTGGGTTTTCTCGCTCAAGCTCTCCTCGCATTGTCTCAGGCTCAGTTCTCTTTCCTCTCCTTCGCTAAGAGGACGACGCCTCACTCCCCAGTTGAAGTTATCGGTACTCTCACCCTGTTACACATTAAATTTATACATTTTCGAATTACTAGTAATATAAGCGAAATACTTACTTCGACACTTTCGCTTTCGTATTCGAGGAAGTCGAAGTCCTTGAACACGCCGAACTGTTCATCGTCTCTTCTCGAACCTCCGCTCAAATCGTTATTCGCGCCGGAAACTTCTTCCGTCGACGAAGCCATGGACGATTGTCTTTCCATCAAGTCCGAACTTTGGCTGAATATCACCTAAATTAAACAGAATCGCATATTTAATTTAGGATAGATTGAATATATGTAGAACAGCAACAGGATTCTTATTCGACACATTTTAATCTTGTTTCTTTGCTACGTGACAATGCTGTGAACTTTAGCGATTATTGTGCATTTACGTGTTCCATCGGATCTTTCACATCAGTTCGAATCGACACAGTTACAACGATGCGTCTGTAAATTGTATTCTGTTACGCCACATCTCGTACAATCAACATGCTACACAAAAAGATCTACTTGCATATCGACGATGTTATCAAAATGAAAGTTTTTGTATCTTTTCAAAATTTTGTGCAATTTTTGTTATCAGAACGAAGCGTACGAAAGCGTGAACGTATTGATCGTATCGATTTAGCATCGAGTATAAAACACGCAACGTTTCATTACTTTTGCGATGCGAGTGCACAGTTTAAAGAAACCTGTTACCTTGCTATATAATGTCATTGAACTAATGTGTTCATCCTAAAAAGGGACACAACCACAGTCAATTAAATGATACTACTTCTCTTGAAAAGCTAGTGAAATGAAGTATATGACAAAAATATTGAATTCGAACGTAGACTTACAGACGGACTCTTCGGCAATCCCACGCGTTGTCCGCAGGTTGTTAGAAGATTGACCAAGCATTCTCTGACACGTCCCTGAAACACAAATTAGATTTGAAAATCGTGCATGCCTGTTTTATAATATTTTTGTATCTCACCTGTGACATCCACGGTCTTTTCCAACCCGAAACCGCGTTGCTGTCCGCCGGTGAGAGAGATAACGAACATCGGGGAGAGCTGAGTGATTTTTCTTCGACGCCCTGGCGTATGAGCCACCGTCTGCCGATCACTGGTGTTTGCGATAAATCAAACGTAAAGTCCATAGTCCTCCCTGTATAAAAATGAAACGTACAAATTACACTCTAAGATGAAAAACAATCCTTAAAAGTTAGTAAGCTTCTAAATAGTATTCTGTACCTTCTCCTTCTGTACCTTTATTAGAAAAAATAATTAATGTGAAACAGTATGAGAAAAGAGGAAGTCGAGCAAACTACATGAACCGTAATGGATCACAATTTTGATTAAAAAAATAGTGTCTGTATTTCGTGAATAATTTACATCATATTCTTATTATTATTTCTATCGCAACCTGAGCATCCTCAAGACAAACATTCCATGCAGTGACCGTGTTCCGCATTGTAAGAGGAAAAACAAGACTTAATCATTTTCTTAACGATCATGCAAGCTACGTAACATTGTTTAAAGAGTATTACCGGGTAATTCTTTTTTGGTAAATATCTCTGTGTCGGTGAAGCTTGGATGCGGGGACGCTATCGAAGATTCCCAGGACGAGCCGTGCATAGATGTAGGTGGTGCTACTAAGGTCGACGATCTCGTGACTACGAGCTTTAATATTTTAAGAGCTTCTTTCCAATGAGGACCCTAGCAGTACATTACATTACAATTACTCAAATATAGAAACGTGTATCACCATCGTGCAAAATAAATACCTCGACGTATTTCGAGATCACTCTGAGGAGTTCCGTGTTGATCGGCTGCGCCGCTTGCGTAGCCAGGTCAACGTAATGCAACATGCAATGAATAATACTCAGAACGGGTAACGCAACGCTTCCCGGTCCTTTTTCCAAAACCTCCACTAAGAAAGCGAGCATATTGAAACTGAGATGAGCGTACGTGTCATACAAGTACTTGACCACGCACTTGGTCCATTGAAAGCTTTCTTTACTGAAAGTACGTCGGCTGTACAGTGTCATCACCGTACCTAAGTTCTCTAACTTCTTCCCTTTCTCGGCACTTACCTATTTCAGATCAGATTTTATATTGTATGCTTAGTCGCAAGTAATTCTTTACGCGAAACTTACTTGTGCAATATTTTCCGCGCTTCTGATGCACAATTCGTTAGCGTCTTCGTAATTCAGAAGCATGTAGGGAAGCAGCGACACGACGTTCATCGGGAACGCGAGACTTTGAGTCGGATCGACGACTGGCAAGTCTAATAAAGGTGTGAATTGAGATAGTAATGTGACGACCGGTTCGTACGTGTTCGGGCTGGTACACCCTTTCAGAAGTAACGCGTGTACCCCGGGGAACGAGTTCCATCTTAACTGCTGCTGCAATTTTTCGACTTTGTCTCTAGCGTCCGGCCGGTCCAAAGGCAATCTGTGCAGCACGCGGCTGAGCAATCTTAACGCCAAAAGAAACTCGTGTTCGTAATCCGATTCGAGTAACGATACAGATAACCAGAACAACTGTGCTAATATGGTCATCTTATCATCTTGCGTGGCGGAATCTCCCAGTAGCTTTAAAGACTGAGCCGATCTCGATCGCGAGAGATTCGAATTCGGATATTTATTACATCTGTTGTCCAATTCTATAAAATTGAAAACATATTACGAGTTCCGATTTCAGTAATGAATAATCGTCACGGACCTTTCATTTCGGTTGCCACCGAATTACCGCCGCTCGATTTCTTCATACAATAACTGACCGAGTAGCTGGTACTTCTCGTATGACCACCTTGGTTTAGATGAGAGAACAAATGCGGACCAGTTGGATACCCATTTCCTCCCGGACTTCGTTTCCCACCGACTAAGCCACCCGCGGCTGGATCTTTGTTGTTCAAGTTCGGAGTAGATTTAAATATCTCTTTCATGAAATCTAGGGGTCTAAAATCAGATTCCAGCGAGTCGACCGCTGCTTCGAGCGTCAGCAACAATTCCGTTACGTAGCCCTGAACAAACAAATTACCGGAGTAAAATAATGAATATTGTCAAAGTGTGTTAATCGCATACCTGCATATCCTCTCCTTGTTCCGCGACTGTTTCTACCAATCTGGATAAGATATCGGATAACATTCGCGAAGTGATAGGAACTCGTAACGCTCTGAATACTTGAAGAGACCTCCCCGCGTAGTGTCTAGACGAACAGGATAGACCTAACTGCAACGCGGTTTGCGCCCATCGTTGGCTGACCAGCGCGTGAGGCAACGAGTCTCTAAAGACCCGCAGCACGTGTCGCAATAATACTGTCAATTGTTCGGCACTGCGAACCCACCATACTTTCGCGGTCATGTCTTCGTAATTCCACAATGGTTGATTCGTTCTGTCGAAAGAAACGCGCTCGTACATTTCTCAGACACGTACTGGGCACAACATTCTATACCTAGATGCTAGGAAATTGATCAAAGACTTGATCACGTCTTGGATCGGCATGTTCGGACCTGGTTGCGGACCAACCCAGTTATTCGCATCTTCGGGCGTGACTATAACAGGGACCGTTGCGTGTCCCGGTGGCGGAGTCGAATTGTTGCACATTGTAGAATCTGTCACATCGAAATCATTCGTTTAACTACTTCTACTTTACCAATCATAAATTACAGAATGCAATCTCCTCACCGTATGCATGAGAATTCGAATAATCTTTCAAGTTGTCCGTGACAGATTGATTCACGTGGCTCATTGATGAGGGAGGCGTGGACGTTGAGTTAGGGACAGGTGAATGTGTAGGTGTCCCGTTGTTGGAAGTCGGTAACGGAGGCGGTGGTGGAGGTGGCGGTGGTGGCGGTGGAGCCGCATTGACTAAGGAGGATTCTGGTGGTTGCGGTGGTAACGGAGGTGGTGGAGGAGGTGGTGGTGGCGGCGGCGGTGGTGGAGAAGACGACGGCGGTGGCGGTGAAGAAGACGGGGGAGGCGTCGTAGGAAGTGGTGCTGGTGGCGGACCGTATAGATAACTGTCAAACTCTGGGTCGACCTCGGTGAAATTGTGCTCTAGCACCGGCAAAGCCGGGGTGGAGAGACCTAAGCCCAATTGTTCAGTCTTTGATGCCAGCAATACCCGCGCTACGCCGAGATGATCTCGATGGTCCCCAAGGACGACTAACAGATTTAATAAAAGACAACGACAGTGATCCCTTACGAGAGGCCTCGAATGGTCCAACCCGAGGAACACTATGTGTAACATTAAAGGAACGTGTATCGCCCAGTCGAGCTGTATGCCGTCGACTACGACATCGGTCAGCAGCATCACCGCAATATTGCATCTGAGAGAAATAAAAGAATATTTTAAGTTAAGCACAGAGCTTCTAAACGTGATCATGTATTTTACCTATGGAATCCGCTTATGGGTTGCGAACTGTCAGGCAGATATTCTGTAAGAGGCGCGAAATAACCGCCATACTCCGGCATCGGTAAAGGATGTGGTTGAGGAATATCGAACTTCTCTCCACCGCAGGAGATTTTTCCGTTCACCGTGGGACCGTTTCTCGCGCCATAACAAGATTCATCGGTGGTTAACTAGAACGAAACACTCGATAAAAAACGTGGAATTAAGCAAAGTATCAAGACAACGATACAGTTAACGTACCTCGGCTTCCGTCGTAGGAGTGGACAGATCGTCCGGAAGAACCGGCGGACCGCTCGCAGTCCTTGTTTTTTCTGCCCTTGGGGTTTGAAATCCAGCGAGCGCGCGCAACGCGGTGTCGGATTTAGAACTATAAATAATACGAACGAAATTAAATTAACTAGTAAAAAAACCTTATCTGGTGGCTCTTACCCCGTCTTAACAGGATCCTCGCCCGAATGCCTTTTGGTATGGATGGTACCCTTCTCGACACTTAAATCACGCGGAGGGTTGCCAGGATCAGCGACGGGAGCGTCGCTATGAGAAGAAGCTTTTCGCATACTAGTCAGTCTATAAAAAGGCGGAGTTTCAGTCCTTTCGATCAAACAATTTAACGTTTCTACTGTCTGTAGTTCAGTCATCATCTCGTCTACCAAACGATCCGGCCGCGCTCTGGCTAAATACAAAACGACGCGTTTCGCCTAAAATACAAGATTGATCATGGACCCACTCGAACAGAAATATCTTTAAATGTAAAAAAGAATAGCATACATATGGAAGGAGTTCTTGTGGTGCCATTCCAGAGACGATAATTAGATAACGAATGATTACTTTTAAATTGTTGGGCCAACAACCGCACAAGGTTGCCCAAAGCTCTTCCATTTCTTTAGGGTGCTCATCAGAAAACTGCAGTCAAATTTATATTGTTATAACATAACTAATCATATTGAATCTGGTAAAACTCGAGTACCTTGGCAGTTATATAAAATAAATTGTTCAACACCATCTCCGTCGCTTCGGCGCTACCCCAGCCCTCCCTGCGTGCTCCACCGCGTGACATATCGCTCGCGTAATACTGCCGAACCAAAAATTTCGTCTATTATTCACGTAAGTAGGAATCTCATCATTTATTATTAGAAGTGGATCAGATTGTTATTAAAAAATGATAAGGGGAAGAGTAGTAAATGAAAGAGGGCGTAGCTCAGATGGTAGATGTGGGCAACGGGTAATAAATACGTTGATGGATCCCTACATAGACGTATGTGTCTGACATATGCTACGTTATACTACTGAATCGCGATTCTCTCTCCTAAGGACGAAGTAATTTTATTTAAAAATTAATTCCTGTAAGCAGGTATTTAAAGGGGGCGTAGCTCAGATGGTAGAGCGCTCGCTTAGCATGCGAGAGGTACCGGGATCGATGCCCGGCGCCTCCAAAATCCTCTTTTTGATCCTTTCACCAAAACTGGATCAAGTAATTGCTCTACTTGAGACTTGGAATAAAACAGATCGAAAGGATAAAGGGGGGCGTAGCTCAGATGGTAGAGCGCTCGCTTAGCATGCGAGAGGTACCGGGATCGATGCCCGGCGCCTCCAAAATTCTCTTTTTGATCCTTTCGCCAAAACTGGATCAAATTATTGCTCTACTTGAGACTTGGAATAAAACAGATCGAAAAGGAGAAAAGGGGGCGTAGCTCAGATGGTAGAGCGCTCGCTTAGCATGCGAGAGGTACCGGGATCGATGCCCGGCGCCTCCATATACATTTTGTTTATTAGTTATATTAACGATGAAAATAGTTTACCTGATAATAACTCATCGGATTAGAGGGTGGAGGCACGTTTGGGTCCACCAGTTCCATGTTGTGCAACCAGGGTAACAAATACTGGAGTAAGAGTTGCCGGACTTCTCTCCTCGCTGTTTGAAATCTGTGTGTGATTTCTATAAACAAGATGCAATTTATCTATTTTTTTTATTCCTGATCTTTGGTATTTGTCTAGGTGAGATCTGCCGATTTAACACACATAGTACGATATTTAGGTCAGCTATTTTGGTGTTCAATACACTCATGTTACGCATCTTTAATTGAATCGACCTAAACATTGATGATCTATATTTACAGATAAAGTAAAGAATAGGATTGTATTCATATCGTTCCTCTCTCATTAACCCCTTAACCCACAATTATGTGTGAGACACGTGGACTTGTATTTGGGCCAAAACTGATTATCACATTACCGGGCCTGGCCCGTAATGCGACGGTCGCGGTTTGTAATGCGGTGTTTAAATCTTGGGCCCAGGCTGTTAAAACGTAAATCGTAGGTTAAAGAGTTAAGTATACGACTTGTGTAATCGGAAGGGCTTGTATTTGTTCGTGTGACAATGTCTTTAAAATTCTATTCGATAATATCATATATCATCGTTCATTCGGAACGGTGCTTGGAAGTATATAGTAGACGAAAATATATTTTCTATGAAAATATACAAAGTAAACTGGGGAAAGAGGTATTAGGCTGAAGTTATAAATGGAGGAATTATTTCTAGTTAACTGCTAGCAAAAGGTTTGAGCTGCTTAACGCACTTTCATCTTGTACGCGATAAATATTATGAAAATAATGCGAAACACGCGTTCCTGCAGTTTATCAATAACTTTAATTATATTTTATTTTCTAATAACATATACGTGGTTTCTATCATCTGCGTACGATGCAAATTGTGCTGGATGAGAGAATACAATAGACGATCGTATCAGTCATTTGAAAACTACTTGAAAGACTTCCAGTATTCATTAAGAAAACGATGGGACTTTTATTGCTTACCACTGAACATGGGCATCGTTAACTCCGGATGGAGTTGAGCCAGTTGCCGGGAAAGATACATTTGATTGCGACAATACGTGGTCGATAGAAGTACATCGAGGGTGCCACCCCTAACTGTACCGCTCGATGACATTCCGCCGATGGGATTACTTTGTTGCCCCGGAGCAGAAGTGGCTGTGGTTGATGAACCGCCAACAGGGTCATCCTGACCTAAAACAAGAACCGATGAAAATATTACGGCCTGCGTCTCGCGCCAATACAACGCTCAAAGTAATTCAAGCATTGGGCTTCCTCGTAAACTGTAACAGTGCAATCAATGTTCATTGCATTCTTTTTAGCGGAATAAAACAGTTACCAGTTCGATTTTAATTTTCGTAGAACGATGTTTTTAATTAAGGCAAAAAATAATTGAGGAAATCGAAATACTATCGAATTCGCGGAACAAATCATATGAAACAGAAACATGCGCATACAAATAAAATCAATTTCCAATAAAACAAATGAATATTCCGTTGAAATAGAAAGATTCGGAATTCCTAGGCATTTAAATTTCTCAGGAAAAAATCACCTGTATTTCACAATCAATTAATAATAACATTTTAGAGAACGGCAGTTGTCACATGAGAATTTCACATATATTACAAATCATTTGATTAATTAGTTTGCATAGCGTATGTTACATGTACTATCTGATTGATATTTTAATTAATCAGATCACGTCCTATTTACATATCTTACGAAAGTGAATGCGTGAACAGGTTGATATTGTTTTAATAAAAATATTATATACAATTACGTATCGTGCTTGTAGTGTGTTATATGATACATAAATTGTCATGAACGTTTTTTAAAATGCCGTCGTGTAAGTAAAGAGAATTCATATAATCGGGTTGGTGCGCAGAAGCCAGATTCATCGGGCTTTATCAGGAACCGTTGCCAATGCACCACGCAGAAATAGTCGAGCCGGCATCCCGATGTATACTACACTTAACTTCCTCATCCGTTATCATAAACAATCTTTTTAAAATAAACAACACCATCAGGTTTCCGACCTCGATAATCATGTCAGTAATAATGGGCGCAAAAATGCAAACGAAAATGAAAAAAAACCGCGCGCTTCTGTTATAAACTATCAGTCAACTATTAGTGTACGCTTTCTGTGACTAAGTAAATCCTGTGTACAATTGAAAACTACTTTTAAATTGTGATTACAGTGATAAAAATTAATTAGAGAGTTTCAAGAGTTTAACGATCCCGGCGAGTTGCATCTTTATTATAAAACTCATTTGAGGAAGAATTGAATAACGGGTTTGATATGCACCACGTGGAACGTATAAATCGAGCGAAAATGTATTTGGACATGCGGGACGTCAGTTGATGGAAGACGAAAGGATAAAAATATTTTGAAACGGCCATCGCGTCATCGCGGATGCATCCCGGATCGATCAGCCCCTTGTTTAAAATCATCCGTCGCGAAAATGATCCACACGCAAAGAGACCTCGTGGAGCTCGACTTAACGGAGACCGTGTTACGCACCGTCCAATTATATTACACCCCTATACTGGTCTACTTCGGTTCTCTGGGGAACTGCGTGTCGGTGGTCGTATTTTTCGGCACGAAACTTTGCCAGTACTCATCGAGCGTGTACCTCGGCGCGTTGGCGATAAGCGATACCGGGTTTCTGGTATCGGTATTCGTAGTTTGGCTGAATCTGGTGGGAGTCGGTCTGTTCAATCAGCCGGGCTTCTGTCAATTCTTCATCTACCTGACGACTCTTTGCAGTTTCACGAGCGTTTGGCTCGTTGTCGCATTCACCATTGAAAGATTCATTGCTGTCGAGTATCCCTTGTATCGTCAATCGATATGTACCGTGGCCAGGGCAAAAATAACGGTCGCTATACTGACTGTAATGGGAGTTGTTTTGTGCAGCCCGGTGTTATGGGTCTCAGCACCGCGGCTGCAATATAATGGGAAAGGTAACGTGACCGAATGCCACTTGGCGGAGGGATTCGAGTCCTGGGCTACTATTTACAACGTGATTGACACGGTGCTAACGTTCGCGATACCGTTTACGATTATCATTACTCTGAACGTACTGATCGCGCGAGCTATCTATAGACATGTAAAAATTAGACGATCTCTGACGAACGAACCGCGCGCGAAAGACAGGCCGGGCTTCCGGTACAGTTTACAAACGAAGATCACCAAGATGCTGCTCGTCGTCTCTACTGTCTTTCTTTGTTTCAATCTACCCGCTTACGTTCTAAGGATTCACGCGTTTCTGCATGTACGTATGAACAATCGAATCGAATACTCTTGCATCTGATATCAATATAGGATGGGAAAAACGCAGTTTCAGGAGAACCAGATCGCGAGCCGGTCGTTGGAGATGGCGCAACAAGTTTGCAATTTGTTATTCAATACGAACTTTGGTATAAATTTCATTTTATATTGCGCAACGGGGCAAAATTTTCGAAACACCATACGCTCGATATTCTTCAAGTCGCATTGCAGAAAAAGAATAAATGCGGTAGACGCATCGAATCAAGGAATGCAGAGTGGTAATTATACACGAAGGAAATAATCTCGTTTGTTCTCGATTGTGATTTTCACGCCGTTTACACTAGGAACAAAACGGCAAGAGGAGACTACGCTTCCAGAGCCATGGAAACAGCTTCATCAGTTGGACGCTGAAGATGAAGATATCTTTCGACAAAAGCCTAAAGAGGAAACGTTGTAAACTTACTGGTTTCCAGTTCAGTAGCTGGGAGCGGGCCGACGTTTCCGAAGAATCGTTGGTCCAACAATTGAAGAAGCTGGAGAGCCGCGTCGTGAACGGGCGCGCGGGGACAACCCGTACTCATTAGAGTAACGTTGATGATACTCGTATAATGATCGCAAGGATATTCTCTGTAAACACAAATCAATACTCCGTATCATATGTATCTATTAAAAAAACAATCGATTCTTTTGTACTCTCTTACAAATTGAGTAAATAAACTTTTCCTAAAATACTTATGTCACTGACCTTGCGCTAAAAATTGTTGCCAAGGCCAGGAAGCAGCCGTCAGCTACTTGCGGTGCTCCGGTATAGCATCGGTCGACTATCCAATCCAAAAGTATCCCGATATCGGGATTACATTCCAATAACAAAACCACTGTTTCTCGGGCGAGGGCGTAGATCTATAATTTTTATTCAATACATAGTAAAATTTTAGAATAGGACATAGAATAATAAGTGTTTTCATTGAATTCACGTTAAACAGGATAATCGTATAATCCGAAACTTACTTTCTCATCTTTGCTGGCTAATAGTAAATCTAACCATTGGTACAGTATCGCTCCCTCTTCGGAGAGCGATTGGGGATTAAAACAAGGCCCACAGCATAACAATCCGCTCATAGCTTGCAAAGCCGAGAGTTGTAACTCGGTGCAAGACTTTTCTTCTTCTTGCAGCGAAGACGTGGTCGCGAGCGGTCTTCCGTAAGGGCCCGCCCAGCTGGCAAAGAGCATAAACAAGTTTCGTCTCAAATCCCTTTTTAGTAACGTGTGACATGTCTCCACTAGAAGAAGTAAAACCCATTAGAAACTATAGTAGATGTTTTATCGGATTTGTCATACTCACATGAAAAACTTTTAATCATTTTTCTGATGAAATTACAAAAATGTAATTTAATGTCACGAACCGCAGGGGCTTCTTTGTCAGTTTCGTTTTCCAAATACAAACGGGCGCCGTCGATGTATTCGACGAACGTTGGATGGAGCGATTGTGTTTCCCGGTCCAATACTGCGGGGCTACAGGAATACATAGTTTAATAAATTGTACACAATGATATCGACGTCTCTTAAGATAATTACTAACCAGATTCCAAACGTTCCGTATTCAGCAATTAATTCCAATACTCTTACTAATTGTAATCTCAATGCATCCCTTCTTCTCCTACGTCGCATATTCTCTTGCTTGCGATCAACCGCCTCGCGGATGTAAGGGACTAGTTCCTCCATTAAATCTCTAACAATAATATTAACTGTTAAGACCGACACGACTAGAACGAACTTTATATTACTTACTTCAACGCATCGGCGTTTACTTTTCCAATTGCTTGGACGGCGGCATCTCTAACGTCCACTACCTCGCATCTCAACAGAGGTATCGTTAATTTGTACAAAGCTGCAGGACTGGCGTTTGTGCCGGGTGACTTGTTGTCACCTCGTTCAGCAGATAGACTGTCCGGCGACGAGCTACGATGAGGGGTTCAAATTTGATGAATATTGCGTTCTTCGAGAATCGACACGACGCACAGATAAATCGTTAATAAGTGTCTCCGATTGGGAACGGTCGTAAGACGGTAAATATAGAAAGTTACACAGATTCCGCGTTAGGTACAGCGAAGCTAAGAACGCTTGCGATCGAAGGAGGTGTAATAAGACCGTGCGAGAATTACCAAACGACCGTTTAATCCCGGGTGACTTCGAAGCGTGGTTTGTTTCGCAATTGTTAATTAGGCTCACCTGGTCCGCTTATGCCTGGTGTAGATGCCGGAAATGGACGGAACGGAGAAGCGACCCGGCAGGGTCTGTGCCCCGCCGAGATTCTCCAGGCTCTGACTCAACTCCTTACTCATGCACAACACACCAAACTCCGTATGCTGACCACTAGAGTATGCAATACAGTGTACCACCAATGCTCCTTGTATCAGATATTATTTACTGCTCAGAAATTACTACTCTAAGGTCCAGGTATACGTATGCGAGACAATGACGAGTAGACATGCGAGGGTAGAGAATGTTATATAGGATAAACGAAAGCGAAAAGATGTGCGCGAAACGGTGTCCCGCTCCCGAGTGCAAAGCGAGCCTTGGTAGAAATTGGTGATCTCTCGTCTCGTTATAAAACGCATTGTTTCGTTACCGTAGAAAAAACAGATTCTCACAGATGATGTGCATAATTCATACGAGATTAGACATTCTTGCGTGTATCAAACGTTAAATAAAAATGCGACGTGCGTGCGACAACAGGGAATGCAAGTCATACAATTAAGAATTAAGAACGCTGTACTGTAATTCTTATTGGAATCGTTTATTTCCGGTAGACAAACACCGATATCCGTCTAATATTTCCGTGGTACACAACAGACATAAGCAGACACGATCCCCCACACCAATTAATACCAAATAATACTGAATTCCACCTGATAATCCACTTTTTAAGCTCTAATGACTGAACTAGAAACTGCTTTCACGTATGATCCTAACTAGTACACTGATTTGCGTGAATGACTGAAATTTAGAGCCGTCTAACGAACATACTACCGAATATTATACCATGATCTTTGAAGATAACAGATTTATATATCGTTTAAACAGTATTAGATATGGCATGACGTGACATGACACTAAAGTTCCTGTTTAATTACTAACTTACCTGAGACTGAGATCTGGACTGGCGCATCGGACGACAGGGCTCGGTACCGGGGGGACGACTCTGTATCCGAAGGTCAAATAATTCTTCCACACGTGCATGTACATGTCCCTCTCGTTTACCGGCTTCCGAACCGCGGTGGAGCTTCTTAAAAGCGAAGCTCTATTGTCGTTCACGGGCCTGAGAAATTAACAACGTTCATTTCCGTAATTCTACACGGACGATTTCGATTTCTAAAAGGGAACTTACGTAGGATCAATTACTGAAAATAGCGAGTTTATTCGAGTAAAAACGATAGGCCACGAATGTGCAACGGCAGCGGGACACAGTGTGAGCACTCTATCTTTCTCTAAAAACGCGAACAAACAACTTCCCCATGGATCTGCTCCATTCAGATTCAGAGAGGAAGAACTCTTTGTGCTAGTATCATCGTGAAGGCCTGAAATATAATCGATATATCAAAGAACCAGACACATTTCACGGTTTAAGAAAATTACCTGCTGTCCATACACAGCTACTTCTTTCGGCTATCCATTGAAGATCGACGTTAGAAGTCGAAGCCGCCGCTGCTTTCTCAGCAGGCGGCAACATGTGATAACACTTTTCTAAAACCACTGGACAGCAAGCGTCTATCACGTCGATCACTGGTTGATCGTCTTCTAGACCTCCTGAATCAATGGTTTCTTTAGTATTCCAATCTTATCGTATAACATAAATCGTTATTACCTAATGTCTTCAACAGATGTTTAACTTCCCGCAATATATGAACGGCTATTCTTCTGGGACAAAGGCGACAATTGCAAAGCATGACCAACGCGAATCCTTCGACCAAGTGAAAGACGCTTGAAACGGGTTCTATTTTCTGTCCCGATTCGCTCTTCTTAATGATACCATCCACGCGTGTGTTAGTCCTCGCGTTATCTACCGACTGTTCTTTCGATCTTATACTAGGACTCGCCAGCGCGTTCTTCCAACTTGTAAGGAGTTGCAGAAGCATTCTTAAGCCGTTGTCGACGAGCTGAGGAAAAGTGTCTTGAACATCTCTGGCAAGGAACTGAGTGAATCCTAAGACAACGTCCTGCCTCCAGTCAGGAAAGTCCAACACCAACGTTTGTAAACTTTGATAGGCTAATCCGCGAAGTTCTTCGTCCATGTGAACGGTCAGCCGCGATAACAGATCGACCAGTTCGGCGCCGGTCATTCCGTCGGGTATCAAACGGGGAACCGCAGCCACGCACGTACGGAAAAGATCTATTCTAGGCTTTCGTTCTCCAGTGATCATCTCGTCCGGTTCTTTGTTCATATTCTGAGTACTCGTCATCATAAGAGGTCTCCCGTAATGAACGTCTAAAGCGCGTAATATATCGACGAATACTCGTCGAACGTGTGGAAAATACGAAGACATTCCTATACTCCTTGCAGTATCTTCTGTCAACATCTAGATTTCAATTTTATTTAATAATCTGAAGTACGTGTAAGATTATTTAGTATATTCACCTTGTTCAAAAACGTCTTTTTGACGCGTACAGTATTACCGCTTGGTAATACGCCCATTGTACGAGGCATAGGGGGTTCTCCCTCCTTTTGTTGCAAACTATCGGCAACAACTAAAAACGCTCGGAGCCCGATGCTCATACGTTCGGGTGTTAAAATTATCTTCACCGGTCGGCCCACGGACAACAAGTCGAACACTATTTCTCGCATTGCAAAATCTAATCTCTCCTGTGCAATGAATTGGATGATTTTTACAAAAATATTCAACGGAGTGTCGCGTGGCACTACCGCCTTTGAACCTTTCGGAAACAAGGAGTTCACTATGCTCTGCAGCCTACTTTGCGTAGCTGAATTACTCTCGCACTTAATGCGTATCATGTACACCCAAAGTAATCGGTACAACGCCTCTGAAAAGTAAGAAAAATGAATACACAGTAGACGGAAATTGGTTCACGTAGGACTTCAACGTACCCAAGGCAACGCGACACATCTTGGGATCACGATTTTTCAAATGCGACAGGCACATCGCTAAAAAGTAATGCCAATTCTGTAAGAAAAACGTTTTCTGGCTGACGCACAACAGACAAGTCACGAGAGGAAAGAGAGCCAATCTATGCTTCGACTTTGTACACATATCTAACGTTGTAGAATATAACATTTCCACAAAATTCTTTAGACAAGGTACATTAACTTCATTTTTCACTGCCTGAAATATTAGAATAATCGATATTAATTATATACATATTAAATTATATAAATTATCATAACAGTTAGATATTTACAGCAGCGACAGGAACAAGTATCTCAACGAAGAGTCCAGCCAAAGCATGCTTGACATCTTTGTCTTTTACTTCTAAAAAATACTGTGCACACTCTTGCATGAACTGAAACGAGGCCTCAAATTCTTCTATCGGTACCATCTACAAAATTACACATGTACACGTGTTTGAATGAACGATAAGGATGTGGTATATTTCCTAAGTACCTTCACTCGAAAGAATTTCATCCCCATTAGTAACGAAATGATACTCTGCGTGGTATGAGGTCCTGGTTCTTTAGCACGTAACTCTTTCAGTTCAATCATAAATCGTTTCCTGACTGACATAAATCGAGATTGTGCAAGGACTCCTATCACTTCCGCGTACAGATCAGCAATAATATGAATGTTTGCTGCATTCGGTTCGTTTTGAATACTGTAACATGTATATACATTCATACAAAACGTTGTAACGTTTTGTAACAATTCTGTAACATCGATACTTACCCTTCTCTATATTTAAAATGCTTGAAGGCTATATTTTCTATATAAGTCACTAAATCTTCGTGACCGGGATGAAAAGGTAACTGGCGTAAAACTTCTATTAACATTAAACAAAATATAAATTCCACTGCGAGATCACGTCGCTCTTGAAGTAAATCAGCTTCGCTTCTTTCGACTGTTTCCACGCTCCCTGATACTATCGTATACATGATGCTAGAATCGAATGTTCATCTTAGGAATCTTGTAACTGAACATAGTGAAAGATGAATACCTTTTTCCTTTTTGATCTTCTTTCCCAGGAGCAGGTTTCTTTTGATCGCTACCTTGGTCAACCAATTGACGTTCGTACCAATTAAACAGCGCACGTAAAATAGAAGGCAAACAATGTTCCGCAACTGAACCGAACGCAGACAGCAACTGATCGAACTGTGCATCTTCCCCTCTTTGTAAAACTTTCGACAACTGCTTCTCCTGCAATACAATTTTTGTAAGAAATGATATAATATAAAAGTATGTGAAATCACATACATGTTCAGTCATCACTGCATCCATCTTCTTCTCAGCTTGAGACGTGTACTCTGCGAACAGAGTACGCATCACGAATTCTCCAGGTCTTAAATCCATGTCTCCTAGTTGTTGCGGTTTTACTGTTTCCTTCTGAGCACCCCAAGGCAGCACAACAGTTATCGCACTCATTCTACTGGAACTTGATTCTAGAACCATCACGACTTCGATGATTATTCATCTTCGATAATTTTAATTGTATGAACTTTGCGATTTACCATTGCCGGAAACTGAAGTGCTGGCAGTGTGTATGCTAACAGCATCACTGCTCTCTCCTTGCGTAGCTCCATGAACAGTCAATAATAATTCTGAATTCGGTTCAGGCACACTTTGAGATGATTCCGCTGTTGCTTCGTGTAGTCCTTCACCATGTACGACTCTGGCTTCAGAGGCTTCTAACAGGAACAAGGCTTACTCATTGGCAACTATTCGTTTCGAGTAATTTTCTAATATTAAGTGCACGGCTAGCTAACAAAATTTCTTTAAACACTAAGATCATGTCTAGAAGCTACTACTACAGGAATTGCTAGTTCTAACACTAGCAATTCTGCATGATGGTAGAAACTAATAAATGAAGCCCTGTTCTGTAACGTAACAGATGCCCACAACGAACACTAACTTAATTAGAGTAAGCTTGATAGCTAACTTTCTGTATATAGGAATTTGACAAATTTGGTAGAAGCGAAACATACCAGGCTGTGCCTCATTTCCAGGAGCTGGTTGCGTTTCTCCTCCTACAGTATAAGAGCTTAATTCATCTTTCCTTATGACTTTGATTGATTCGTATTATATGTAATCTATGAACTTAATATTTAACATTAAAGCATTTGATGAAGGTACTTACCTTCAGTCATTCTGTCGATGTTGCCTTATTTTCAGGCAGTATTAATATGTACTGCTGTCATACTGTAATTACAGTTTTACATGCTAAAATAACAAACAATTTCCATTAGGTAAGATTTTTTAAATACCTATTGATTTGTGAAAATGAAAAACATTACAACGTAGGAACATAGACATTCTTGTTT